GCTTCCATCAGAAAAAAAAAAAAAACTGTTGGGTCAAGAACAGTTGTCACACTCTTGGGCTCTGTACTTCATGGGCTTCGGTAACATGCCTCAATTTATAGACCTTTATCAGAAGTCCAAACCATTCTTTCTTCTGTCACAAGTGTATTTGTTGATTAAATAAAAGTTAATTTCGAAAAAAAAAGAGTAAAACTACAAAAAATAGTAACATAGTGAGTATTAATTGTACCAAAAAAAAATAGTGAGTATTAATATATATGTAACTAGCAATGTATCTATTTTATAAGACTTAATTGCACTTTATCTTTAACATGGCTACTTGCATATATCTTAATAGATACATGCAAGTAGCAATGATATCCTGTTTTGAAGACTGAGATTTTAATTTTTCAATATAACAATTTAATTCTTGCATTAAAGGTGAACTCGAAGAATTTAGTATATCAGATATGATGAAATCAAATAGCACATTTGGGGTTGAAGCAACGTGGTCAACTTCAACCCGCATACAATGAACTCATCCTATGTTGAACCAAAAAACAAACAAGAACAAAACAAAAATCGTATGTAACTTTTCAGGTCAATGGGAAACCATAACGGTTCTACCATTATTGAATGTGGTTTTTAAGCTTACGATATTCGAGAAGCGTTTGAAAGAGACCTCACTGGCTCACGTTAATTTCGAATCATTGGAAGGTCAAAGGTGAGACAATGGCATTGGCATATATACAGTAGTTGCCATGGGGACCAATAAACTTGTTCACTTTGAGTAGAGTGGCACCCACCACGACGGTGCACGGTTCATGCATCAATAAAATCATTACTCACCGTACTTGCATTTTTTATGTGCCACAACACACTCTGTTTTGATCTTGCTTGGTATTATTACTGATTTTACGTGTTGGTTGCATCAAGAACATTGATGCAAGGGCAAGACATATGCCCTGCTTACCAATCCGTTTTATGCTGACTTGCTAGTACTGTACAGACTAATTACTTTGGTAGTAGCTAAACCCATTAGGTCAACCTAATGGTTAGGAGTTATGATAGTTTGCCCAAAGTTCAAGTTTCAATTTTATTGCCATAATGATGCATTTAATAATATAAATAAATAAATAAAACCAGCTGCGGCTACTAGGACAACTTCGTATTTTTTTTTGGCCTAGTAGCTAGTACATATATTTAAAACAAAAAATACAGTATCATCTCTTTCCTCAATGATTTCTATCTACGTTGTCCTTTTCTTTTCACTTTATTTTGGGCATAAACAGTACCAAATATTGATTAGCTGTTAGTTTATCAATAAGTGAAATCTTTAACACTCGCAACAAAAAGGAAATTATTAAGAGATTGAAATACATAAAATTATTGAAGGTCAGTAAGCAGTGGCTTTTCGGCATACATTCCAAGGCATTCACCATTCAATTTCTTCCCACATCATCCTTCTGCATTCATGCAGTATGTCCCAATTTAATTTTATTTTGGTATATACATCTCACACTTTCATATATATATATATATATATATATATATATATATATATATCTCTGATTAGTGTCTACAATTAACACTTTGAAACGTTTAAGCATCCGTAAATTGCAGTTGAAAAGAGAAAAAAAGAAATACTAGTAACACAATCTCTAATACTCTCTATTATTGATTAAAATTTATTAAAAACTGTAAAATTACAAGTGACTCGATAAATAAAATCTGAGACTCACAAAACTCTGATTTTTAATAAAATTTAATCAATAATAGAGCATGTTCAAAAGAATACGTTAGAGAATGTGTTACTAGCATTTCTTAAAAGAAAAAACTTATACAAGCTTACAATTTGCTAGAAGGTAAACATCATCCAAGCTACTGTTTGTAAAACAACTACAGAAGAATGCGTTAGCCAGCTAAATGCTTCTTTCTCCAATGCATATTTTCGGCTCCATGTCCACCATATATACTTTAAATGCTAATGATATCTGTCATACACAGTATCAATGCTTTAAATAGGTATGATATGGAAATGAAGAGATGATAAATTATCAGATTTATAAGATGAAATCAGAACACGTGTAAAAAAATTTGGATGTTAATGCACTTGAGGTTCCATGAAGTTGCAAGCATTGCCTCCCATGCATTGCATTCAATCAAATACCAATGGACTAAATTACGACTGAAAATTACATTTGGCAATATGCATGAAGAATGGAACAAATTATATTGCTTTTCTACATTAGATGATTAGAACATAATGCTGTTCTTCAACACATACTTCAGTATTTACCAGACAACAGGTCTGACAAATTTGATAGTTTATGTCCTTTACCAGACAACACATTCTCAGAATATTCAAAATTTAGTTGAGTGTAACTTGCTTTCCGTTGCCCCTATAGATTGTTCAACATTTGTTCAAAACCAATTAAGAAGTCCTTAAGCTATCACAAGTTGAGTTTTATCATCATTATTAATATTTGAGAATCAAGAGAAAAAAATCTAAGTCCACAAGATACTCGCTAAACACAATCCAAGGCCAACGATCCCAGTAAATTTAATTCTGATTTACAGAAGACTGCACCATTTGTCTTCCTCCGGTGCAGTGTATTATGGTGCAAAGGGGATGATAAAATCATTGCTGTCAACTATATTGCAAGAATAAGTCTTCATATTATCCTAGTGCTCTGAATCGAAGAATACACCCCTTGAAAAGTATAGTATAGTCAAGTTCACCACACAAGGGACACGTCTTACATAATGTATATATTGAGAATTATAGTCATAATGTCATAGCAGCCTACCATGATTTCAGTGTTCCTGATCCATCTTGGCAAATCGGCCCTTGACTCTTACCCTGGTTTCAGCCCGAACTTTTCGTGATTCATACCTTATGTGCTTGTCAAATCTGTTGTTTTCCATATAAAGTATGTCAATTTAATAATCTAAGAAAGTCATAAAATCATATATACCAAATACCAATCATCATGAATTCACGATCAGACATATACATATACTCGCAGTTCATAACTCTAATTAATCAACGATCCAACAACCATTTATATATAGCAAGGAGATGACAAGGCCTCATTAACTACAGAAGCACACTGAACAGTAAATCTCATAAAAATAATAACAGAATTCTTCCATAAAAGTCTGAACTCTGAACATAACGCTTTCGGTCAACAAATTGGAGAAAACTATGTCACAGAGTAATGATTTTTTCTTGGTATCTCTCAAATATATCAAAAACCCAAAAATATATCCAACCACAACACTTGTAGTTGTAGCCAATGTTTGTAAAACTCAATCATGTCTAGAAGTTAAAGCTTGTCCTGTGTATAAATGGAAATAAAAATAAAATAAAATAAAAAACTTCTAGAATCTAAAACAATGCATGTTACAGTTAAAGGCCTGGGCTATGTTGTAGGCAATAATTTAATATTTCAGAAATTGGGCAGTATAGTTTCAAAGGAGCACTTTCAAGCATTAGAAATTTATAAATAGATACTGTAACAGTAATAGTAAAAGATGATGTAATAGTAATAATACCTTCTTGTTTTCTTCTTCTGCTTGTACCGTAATAATGCAGAATCTCTTTCTTGGCTATTTAACTCACATGCCGCAGCTCTGGGAGTAGTTGGTAGGATTTCAGACTTGAAAGAAATGGGTGGATTCCCTCCATGGTTGCCATGGGTGTCAGTTTCCCCAACAGCAGAAGTAGAATGTTTAACTGGAATTTCTTCAGTATAAGTTCCCAATGGTGTGTCAGGAGGAACAACCTGATACATAGGCTCAGTGCTTTCTCTATGCCACTGAAATACAAAATCAATACATTAGCAGTGATTTTTTTTTTTTTTTTGAAATAATTTAAGCAGGTATGTCATAACACCATATACAATGAAGAAGGCATCATTGAATGGTTCTACTTCTACCATTAAATAAAAGAGCAACCTAAAGACCTAGCTTGTCCATAACAACAATAGAACAAGGCAAGTCACTGACAATAACAAAGCAAGATAGATGTTTCTGGTGATAGGTTTTGCAAAAGATTTATCATAACAGAGGAAATTGGGACTCATAATTATAAAAAGCCATTAAAGAAATTTCTCTAGAGGAGTCAGAACTCAATTTCAAAATAAATAAAAATTATGTCGTGAAAAAATTTTCCAGTCAAAGTCAAATTGAATTGTACTCAAGAGTATCATTCACGACCCATCATTACAACTATTTTCATCTGATAAACAGTTGAACTACAACATCAAATTTAAGTGCCAATATTGTACCCTGGGTTCATCTTATCAATACAGGTGACTACAACAAGTGAGTTAAGATCCGGAAGATATTAAAAGTTTATGTAAATATTTTCTTGTCAAATGAGATCAATCGCGGTTAACTCCCTCCTCTTTAAGTAACAAATTAATATAGTCTCCACAAAAAATCAGAAAAAAATTCGATATGAACAAATTGAAAAGGATAAACAACGCAAATCCAATCTAGAGAAACAAAAATCCACCCCTTAAACAAATACACGAATAAACAAAGAACTCATCATCAGGCATCAGCATTCAGCACCAACATTGATAAGAAAACACGAGTACAAAAGAAGTGATGTAGAAGCTTTACCTCATGAGAAGGAAAGATATCAGGCTCCACATCGCGTTCAAAACCCGAGGACAAGTTCTCAGATGGCACATACTGCTCAAGGTCCAAAGGCTCAGACTTGGCCAATTCACGAAGCTGACTTAGAATCTCTTCTCTGTGTTGCCCACAAGCAGCCTTTCGATTCTGAACCAATAACAATACCCTGAACAAGTCAAAATTGTAGCAATAGACACAGATTTTGAATGTCTTCTTTCACATCCAAATAATACACTCTCCTATAAGACAACCACAACTAAATATTAATAATAATAATAATAATAACAATGATGATGATGATTTTATTAATATTTTTTCATTCTTCACCCACCAATCCCCACAGTTCAAGAAACAAGACCTTAAAAAGAAGAGAGGTCTTACTGTCTTTAAAAAATCACGGCTTGAACCAAAAACTAAGGGCATGTTTACTGTTGATGTCATTTCCTAGTTTTACTTTTAATTTACAAAATTGTCACTTGTTTTAGATATGTGTTTCCTGTTTTCAAGGTTCTGTACAGGAAAAAGATTGAAAACAATGTGACAATTTTCTAATTAAAAGTGAAAACAGAATTATACAAGCCATAAATTCCCATTACATTTCTTATTTTTCTTAGCGAGAACGATATCAGAATCAAACCCAAATTCTAAAATGGTAACAAAATCTATCGTAATGATTATCATTAGACCTATCAGGTCAGCCATTACATGGCTGTCATCATACCACCCACAAATTCTAAAATGATAACAGAATCTATCGGAATGATCTATCGGGTCAGCCGTTATCTGGTTGTTATCATACCACCCACAGATCTTCAGTGACTAGTGATACTGGCCAAACTATCACATGGAGCTAGTTTTAGATGATGAATCATACTCAAACCCAAATTCTAAAATGGTAACAGAATCTATCGTAATGATCTATCGGATCAGCCGTTACCTGATTGTTATTATACCACCCACAAATCTTCAGTGACTAGTGATAATGGCCAAAATATCACATTGATAATTCATGTATTTATACACCAAAAGGGTGTAGCTTAGAGAGTAGATAATCGGTTGATATATACCTTGGGCAGAGGAGGAACCTCCATGGCCTGAAAGGTGTGGGAAGAAGCGGAAGAAGAAATCAAATCGTCGATGGTAACAACAGAAGGAGCGTCCCAAACAAAGAAATCAGAAAAGCCTTCGATCTCAGAGGAGAAGGAGGCATCAGCAGGAGTTGCGTGGGGCGGAGAAAGCAGAGTTTTTTTGGTGACATCGCGAAAGGCGAGGATGGACAAGAGCTCGGAGACGGAGGGGCAGCCGGTGAAGGGTTCAAGGGGGCCGCGCTGGTGGAGGGAAGAGAGAGAGGGGTTGTGGGTCTCCCAGTCGCAGTTCTGGCAGAGAACAGAGGCTTCGGTGGAACAGAGTATGGTGGCAGGGGAGTGATCGCATGCGTCGCAGAGGAGCGTGCGCGTGTGCTTGGAGAAGAGCTGGTTGGTGGAGTGAACTTCGCGGTCGCAGGAGAAGCAGAGTTTGGCTGAATCGGCTCTGCAGTAGAGAAGCGCTGTGGAGTGGCCACAGTAGTCGCAGGGTCTCGTAGTCATTCTCAAGATGAAGAATTCAAGATCAGCCCTAGATGTGGAGGAATTCGCATGTGCCTAGTAGGAACAGGATATTGCTCATTTCTTTCTTCACCAGCAAGGCCTCTTTCATATTTCATATTTCATACTTCATTTTCTTTTTTCTTTTTCTTTTTAATTGAAATATATATATAATCTTTTGAGTTACGTTGGAGAAGCTGTATAAAGTGTGGATGAGTAGATATTATAATCATTAACGTGTTTGGGTTCCAAGAAACATATAAAATGATTTCTTTTTCTATGATGAATAAATTTATCATAGTTCATTACTACTTAACCTTTTATAAAACAAGAGTTTTGGTATTACATGTGTAATTTTTATGTATTTATGTGTTATTATTTTAAGTTTATGTCATTTTTAAATTTTTATTTATTTAAAATCTACATCAGTTAAATGATTAATTGAAGTTTATGTTTTTAATTTTTTTTTTTATCTTTCTGGCATCTTTCTCGTTTTGTGAAGATATACCGGGAAAATGAAAATAGAATTTGTAGACATTCTCTTCGCGAGCCAGCGAGAACAAATTGTCAAGCGCCTCAAGGGCTGCTCTCCCGGCTCCAAAAACAAGCCCAAAACGTCGCTCGTTATAACCCGGGAGCCCGAGCCCGCTATGATCCCTTTTGTTTTAGAAATCCTGGGCAGGAGCGACGTGGTTGAGGCCCTGGCCTGGTTCAGTCGCAGAAAGAACACGGGCTTATGCGTCCTGTCCGGTTCGAGAATCGTCGCCAACGTCACTCTTCGTCAACCCTCTGTCACCCCTGGCGCCACCGTCACTTTCCACGACCGCTTTGATGTCCTCTCCCTCTCCGCCACACTCTTCCTCCACGCCTCGCCGACGATCGCACTCTCCGCCTTCGCCGTCTCGCTCGTCGGCCCGCCGGGCCAGATCATCAGCGAGAAAGAACCAAGAAGAGAGGGAAGAAGAAGTGAGAAAGAAGCCAGAAAGATACGGGAAAAAAATAAAAAAAAACATGAACTTCAATTAACCATATAACTGACGTGGATTTTAAATAAATAAAAAATTAAAACTGACTTGGACTTTAAATAATGACACATAAATACACATCAACAAACATCATCAACAGTACCAAAACCCTTCAATAATTAAAGGTACCATAGAAATTCTCTTTATCATATTGTTCACATGTACAGCACACAACCGGACAATAATTATTTTTAAGATTTAGATTTATTTAAAATCATTAAGAAGTTATTTGGACTTAATTCAATAATCATTGCTTGTCTTTCACTCTGACGACGGCAACACATCTTAAATCCACTCATCTGTTTTGAGGGTTTGATCTAGTTGAATTTTACTGAGAGAGACACAACTGTGGAGAGGGTATGTAACGATGTTAGAGGTGGAGTGGAGAAAGTGATCTTACATGAGTACATGATGATGAGAGAGTGGGTAGTGTGACAGTTAAAGGATAGATCGAATCTGAGAATGGAGTCGTGGTCGATGTGGATGTGACGAAGGAAGGAGGGTGGCACAAGAGAGGAAGAAGGGGAAGGTGAAGTTGTTGGAGACAAGACTGAGGGAGTGCAGGCGGTGTAGTACGGAGAGTGGTCTTGCGACTGTTGTAGGGCAGGGGCAAGGGAAGTCGGCAAACCACATTAGTCTCCATCTTGAAGAAAATCGATTCAAAAATCTTGTCTTCATGAGTCTTCTCTACTTATTCAATGCTTGCTGGTTTCTCTTTAGGTTTAAGTTCAACTTTGGTGGTAGTTATTGACTTTTCTACGAGTTTGAATTCAGCTTGGGTAGTTGGTGGGAGAAGAGGGTCGATGACAGACTACACTTCCTTTGTCGGAATTGGTTTTTGGGGTCCCGCAATCATGGATGGATTGAAAATGAAAAGAATTATGAACAAAAATAAACACAAGTGAGGGTGTTGACAATGGTGATGAGTCAAAGTTAAAGGAGCAAAAGAAGACAATAGTATTGACAATGAAGAAGTGGAAGGGAAGGTTGGGATAATTAAGTGGGATTTAGTATTTTCTTTTTGTTTGTTTGGACAAAATGATCATTTACCATAAGAAAATAAAATTAATGCATTGATAATTTTTTTGTTTCTTATGATGGAAGTTTGAGGCATGATATCGAATTTATTATATAAATTTTAATTTTAATTTTAATTAATATGATGACCTACCCATGTATTACACATGCATATATTTTAACTTATTTAGTACGCAATATAAATTATTAATATGTAATTAGAAAATAAATGAACATTTAAATAAAAATTAATGCTAGGTCCTTTAATTTATTTCTATTAATTATTACTAAGTAACATTGAATTTTACTATTGTTTATATTTGAAATTATAATTTTTAAATATTATTTTTTTAATTTGTACAAAATAAGTAACTTTTTATTTTTGTCTATGTAAAAAAAATTTATTTTTATCTTATAAAACTGAAAAATATTCTTTTATACATATTATTATATGACATTCATTACTTATATTAAGTGATTATCTTAAATAATATATATTATACCATGTGATTTGTTTAAAAAAAAGTTTAAGATACAAAAAATTATTTTTATTTATCTATTTTTAAAAATTAATATTGAAGATCAACATTAACGATTTCAAATCTTAAAAAATGAAAATCAAACAAAAATATTTTTCAAGGATGAAAACTCTTATATTTTATTTTATAGGAATTAAAAATAAATATTTTAAATAATCAAATTACCCTTTAGTTTGAGTTAAAAATAATGTTCCAAACTATCTTACTTTTATACACAGAGACTTTACATTAATTGAAATCAATTCAAAATTGTAAGTTTTATGTTTAACTTGTTAAAGAATTAAAAGTATAAAATTATAGTTCAAGTTAAAATTTAATTTCATATACGTAAAATAGATTTATGATTTATTTATATAAATATTTACATAAAATTTACAGAATTAAGATCGAAGTAGTATCCATAAGTTTCTATGTTTAGAGTGACATTTGTGATTTGCATACAAAAAGATATTACAATGTTAAATTAGTAAGTCAAAGTTGAAAGACTTGATAAAGAAAGATTTTATTTTATTTTTATTAGATGTAAAAAAGTTATTAATTAATTCCCAGTTCCCACATAAAGAGGCAAATCTAATAATGAAAGATTGATTTGATACATGGTTGAAGGACAGACAGGACGATCAAATACAAAAGGCAGTGGGTTCCACTGCAGTGCACCATTTTTCTTTTTCTTTTTCAACTTTTCATCGAACCTCATATAGAGTCATAGTCCCACCACGCATCATATCTTATGATCATAGATCATAAATTAATAATAAACAAAAGTGTTAATATTAAAATCCAAGTAAAAGATCTTTTTGAATTTTGACTTTTCAACACAGATTCTCTGTATCCAATTAATACAGACTTCAATCATTGTTTTAATATAGTCTCATGATTTGAACCGATAAGAATGGGAGTACTACACTACCCACAGAAGATATACTAAAAATAAATAAGAGTTTTGTCCTAAATAGTGAATCTTGTCATTTTGAGTTTTGAACATTCCACTTTCATAGTGTAAGCAAAAATAATATATTTCAATATTTGTACAAACTCATATTTCATGTACACTATGTTGAGTAAACAATCTCGAGTAAACCAGTAATTTGGGGCTTGATTGATGTATCACAATCTTTCTAAGACAGCACTTAAAATAATAAAATTATATAAGTAATTTTTTTTAAAGGAAGATATAAGTAGTTCTTAAAATATTAAAAATCCATCAAATTAATTATCATGATATGTTTTACCCACGTTAAAAGACTGATTTAAAAGATTTTTCAATACTTTAAGAACTACGTAAAATAATTTATAATACTTTAAAAAAAGATATCAGCAGTTATCATTACTAGTTAATATAAAAATCACCAATTTTTATCGATTAATTTTTCACCCACTCAAAACAAATCTAAAATATAAAAATAATTAATCTTAAAAGATTTTTTTTTACTAGTGATCACTTATAATGATGGATACTAATAAATAACTAAATTCTAAAGCTGACTTGTGTTTGATTTCTTAATTGTGTGTATAATAAATTAAAAAAAACCTTCAATAACTTTTATGCCTTAGTAAGAATTAGTTTCTAACATTCGGTTGAGAAATATAATTGATTAACATACAAGAATAGTAACCACATAGCGTCACATGATTATCAAATGGATTGGTGTGTAACCCAGAGTTTCTTCAAACAATTAATCACTTAATGTTAATGAACTAATCTTACCAATAAGGACCAAAAAAGTACAATACATTATGTTACCGGAGTGTGCAAAACATTTTTCTTTTTTACAAATATCAAAATAAAATATTACATATACTACAACGAAGTTTAAACCTTAAAACAAACTCCTATAATAACATATTAAACAATGTTTCAATGGTATTATTAACAGTTAATAATGCTAACAACAGAAAAAGAAAACGAATTATTTGTTCTATTAAGAAAAACGAAATATTTGATCAACTCAACTAGTTATGTAAGTGAAAATTACTTTATGAGGTCACTCATGTATTGCCCGCTTTTTTGTGGTAAAAGTTTTGACCATTTTAAAGAGATGTGCTCCATCTTGTGATTGTATCCTTGAAAATAGGATCGAAGTTTATCCCTTATACCTAAATAAACAAAAGAAATCGAAAAAAAAAAAATCAAAAGGATTTGTACACGAGATTTGGTGGCTTTTAATACAGTGTTGGAGTTCATTAATTATGGGGGAATAAAATTCAATGGAGCCAACCACCAAAATAGATCGAAGATAATTACGAAAAGGGATTAGATTTTAAATAATTCTAAAATTTCCTCCAACATCTTTTGCTAACTTTTATATTTTGAAATGTTAATTACACTTAATTTATTGATTTTTTTTTTGGGATAAAATATTAGAACATTTTAAAAATATTTGTAGAAAATAGAATATTATTTATTTAGAGTTTTCACGAGTCATCGCTGGCGTGGGATATTTATGCATGTGGGCCAAGATTAGGAAGGACCTTTTCAGACGAACATGCTGGAAACAAAAACTGGACCCCTCCTTAGTCCTTCACACTTCTCACTCAAGTTACTTCTGATCCAGCAACCTACTCAACTGGATCATCATCAATATTTGGTGTCCCCAGTGTTCATATAAATTAATAGTTATACGTAGTATCCATTTTTAATTTAATTTTCATATATTAAATTTTATTTATTATTATAATTATAATCCTTATTTCAATATTGAATATAAAAACATGTAAATTAAATTAAAAGAAATATCACGTACAATAAAGATTAATAATTATATTATATTGTTATGTTACTTTAAATTTATTTCTTATTAATATTGTAATGCTAACAAATACTAGAAATAGGTTTATAAATAATTATCTAAAGTTAAATTAAAAATAAATATTATGTAGAAGGGGAAAGGCGTTATATTTAATACTTTCGCCAGCAATGCAGCAATCAGCATGGACAACAGGACAAGTGTTAGCACTTTACAGTCATTAACTGCCAACATCAAAAAGTCTAACACTCTCCTGCGTTCATAGGCTGCATCGAGCTCCACAGAATTTGAATGAGATTAATGTAGATAGACGTGACAAATTAATGAATGTGGTTCTTATTACCAAACATACTAAAAGGTTCCATGCGTATATTTATCCACTGCCGTTCCCCTACTATTCTACTGAGCAAGACGTACTTTTTGATTCGGTAATGGAACAAGAGATACATTTATTTTCCCTCCTTTTTAGTTGATGAGGTTTGCATACCAACTACTAAAACCTAACCAACCAAATGAATAGTGATGCTTCTATAGTTCTATTTCTCTCTTTTCAAGCTAACGAGAATCACGTACCAACTAGTAGACAGAAACAGATACAATAATACCTAGGGGCCCAACTCGGGATATCTTATAGTACTCCCAAGTTACATGTGAGATGGCAAGACAATTCAATTTTTGCTTATTCATTTCACTCAATCTTGGCCCATTTTTACAGTTTGTACATATTTCAAAGTATACAATTACAAGCACGGGACCAAACCCTTTATGCATTTTCTTCGGCCCACCAAAAAAGTAAGGCGATGACCAGAGTCTTCCTTCTGTGGGATTAGGACTCAGCAACTACCAAGCATGATTCCAGCTTGTTCACGATTTAGGGTCCAGGTCAACGTAGCTCCGCTTTTTCTTTCACTTCAATACCTTTTTATAGCTTATCTATTTTCTTAAAATGCACTCTTTAATTAAAAATATTTTCCCCTAAAATCACACGGGTCTTATATATGATATTGCAAGGCGTACAATGATGATATTTTGTGCGTACAATGATGGCAATGGGTTCTCTATTTTCTAAGGAAAATGCTGTATCTTCCGAAAACAGAGGCCGAAAAATTGTACAAATAATTAAAAAATTATTTTATAATAAATTTATTATAAAATAATTATTTTATAATAAATTTATTAAAAATAATAATTTTTTAATCATTCAGAATGTTTTTAGCCTCCGTTTTCGGAGGTTGTAGCAATGCTCATTTTCTAATCCTTGAATGGAATAGATAATGCGCGATAACAGATCACATGCACGTAATATAAGCTATCCTCAATATATTTTTTCACAAATTAAACCAAGACTATTGGCAAAATCAAGATATCCTTTTATTTCCTTTGATATTACTTTGGGAGAAAATAATCAAAAGTGAAGAATTAAAACAATGGAAAAAATAAAATCGAAGTTTTGGGATGATGATGTAATTATGTTTCACTCATACCCAAACCTTTACTGTTGTCTGGGTGTCGAAATCCTACGGGTGTTATACGAACTGCATTGTCCGCACTTGTGACCAAATATGTGAAAAGAAACTGTGCTTGTAGAGTTACAGTCATTGCATAGAATTGAAACCTGTCATATACCCAAAGAATCCAGTATTACATTGTATTTAAGAGCAGCAGCAAGGATAGAAACCAAAATCATTTGAGAATGAAATGAATTTTCTGACAAATTTCATCATATTCATACCCCTCTCCCCACCGTCCAAAATAAATACATAAAAATACGAACCTCTCTGAAACAAACATTACCATAACAAAGTATATGATTTTCCACCTAAAATGTGTAACAGCACTCACATCACAACATAGAATTGCTCCACCTAGCTCGTTGAGATATTGCTATAGAAAAAGTAGTGCAGAAATCTTGGATTTGCATCCACCATGTAAACATAGAATGACTACATGAAGATTTCAAAATTTATTTCCTTCACCCCCTTGACATGATCATACCATTTATTTGGATCCCAAATTTCAAAACTTGTGTTAAGGAAAATAATAGTCTTCAGTTTTTTTTTAAGAGTTAATCACCTATACACTGCCAGTGTAAAGTTTTTTTACACTGGCAACCAGTTATATTTTTTAATTGTGTCATGTCACTATAGATACATTTATTTTTAACAGTGACATGACACAATTAAAAGATATAATTGGTTTATAGTGTAAAAAAATTTTACACTGACAGTGTATAGGTGATTAACTCTTTTTTTAATAATGGATAGTTAGGTCCAAAAAATGATATATAAACCCTACAATGCCTGATACAACATGAAAATCTCACAATATTCTCACCCCACCTGCAAACATTGCTCATTATCATATCATCTATTTTGAATCCCAAATTTTCAAAACCATGCGTAGAGGAGAATAATAGTCGTCAGTTTTTTATAATGGATAATTACGTCCAAAAGATAATATATAAACCATACAATGACTATATAAAACATGATAGTCTCAATATTCTCCCCCCTCCACCCTCCAAACATGTTGCTCATTGTCACATCATCTATTTGAATCCCAAATTTTCAAAACCATGCGGAAAGGAATATAATAGTATTCAATTTTTTATAATGGATATACTTGCATGCTCATCAGCCTCGTCTATGCCTAAGAAGCAACCTAAACCCATGTAGAATGATGCTATAAATCAGTTATCATGTAGTATTATGCATTGACAACATTTAGTCATCAAGTTGTAGGGAACCTAGCCAAGTCATTCTATATGAAATTCTAAATGGACAAACTTATAAATGTCACTCTTAATAGATTAACTAAGAGAGAATCAAACAGATAAGTAACTACCTCAAACTTGTACTCCTCTGGCATTGAAACCGCTTCAATCTATCAAGAAAAAGTATAAACACATCAATATAGAAGAAACAAATTCCATAGGTTAGGAAAAAAAATGACTATCAAAAATAAAATATCAAAGTAAAAATAACTAGTACTAGCAACATCAAAAAACTTATAGTAATTGATAAATTTATTAAGCAATAAACATGAGAGCTTCTAAGACCTAAGCATAAAGGAACTTTGACAACAATTTATTACGAAAGTTCCATGGAAGTATTGTCATTATATTTTCTCCTATGTATCCATCAATTACCAAGTGCTCAGAAAACTAAGAAATAGTTCTTACAAACATTTATCCCAAATAGAAGATTGACTACAGATTTCTCCCGGACCTTCAGCTTTAAAATTGAATTTGTGAAAAGCTACACTGCCAAAGCACCCCTCAAAATGGACATTTACCTCATGTTTTCCTTTGTACACAGAAATTTTAAACTTTATATCATAACAAATATGCAACTCTCCGTGCTAGCGTATTTTCTTTATATATGGCAGCAACTTATTAAATACCACTACAAACCTAGCATGGCAAAAGTTTAATAAAAAGTGCCTCCTAAAGCTCATTTCCTACTCGTCTTTACCCCATGAATTTTCCTTGTCTACAAGAAAATCATGTGGAATATTACTTAAAAGACTATAAAAGAATGGTCATGTATCGACTAGCAAAGAATATTTTGAAACAAAAATTTAATAAAAGTTCCACACACCTCCCGATCTAAATATTCCCAGTTCTGAGACATATTGACTATTGTCTTCAAGCAGATAGGACAGCGATACCTGATTGATGAAACAAAGCCCAAATTATTAATTGAGCACAATTATTTAAGCTCATTAGAAATCTAATATCTAATGTAAGAGACAAGATTATTAGGAAGTAAGTTAACTGATTTTGAGTTGTCATCTCTTGACAGCATTCCATATGCATTGTGTGTCCACACTTCAAAATGGTGCTGCCTTTTATTGAATCAAATAGGTACTATCAACACATAACAACAATGTCAGGAAAGTTTTAGTAACATCTTTGAGAAAAATAAGCAATTAAAATAACCAAAAACAAACCTCAAAACAGACAGGGCAGGAACTCTTCATTGAGTTCTCCACACATGAGTGATTGTTTTGCAAGCTCACTGAATAGCAAGAGCCTGTATACATACAACATTACTAAAAAATTGTGAGGACAGTCATAACAAGAACGAATCAAAGCAAGTGCAAAAGTGCAATGCAAAATGCTATAAGGAAAGGAAATATGTGCTTTGTTACATATGGCCCTTGTGCTTGAAGAAAATTTGAGTAAATGACAAAGATTGGTCAGAGAACATACCACATTTCTTACAGTGAAAGAACTTATCACGACCACCAACCCTAAAAAAAGAAAATTTAATAAAAACAGAAAACTCCATATTTCAGAAAAGAACCCAAACGGTTTAACCAATCCATACATAGCATGTTAGATCAGGTTTATAATCACATATCTCATGAATCTAAGATTCTAACCTGCAAATGCCACATTCATCACAGTGGAATTGTCCTTTATCCGTCTGCAACAATAAAAACATTGCACGACATCAAATTAAACTGCTAAAAAACAACAATACATAATAAAATTACACGGAAAGTCTGCAACAATAAAAACATTGCACAACATCACATTAAAATACTAAAAACCAACACCACATGATCAACCTACATGGAAAGTCCGAAACAATAAAAACATTGCCCGACATCAAATTAAAATGCTAAAAACCAACAATCCATAATCAACCTACACGGAAAATTTACTCAATGTAGATAACTTATTTGAATTAAACACCTAACCTCATCATCATAGAATTTGCAAATATCGCAATAATATTCTCCCATGTTAACGCCACAGCTAGAACACACCTTGGCAACCTGAATTATCAATATAAGCGATAAGTTTTTATACATCTCTCTCTCTCTCTCTCTGTAAGTAACGATAAAGGAAACATTATAGGTTCTACCTCCTGTTCAGTATCACAGACAGAACATATAACCTGAAATAATCAAAATTCGCAATCACATTAGAGTTTACATGGAAACCTAAGTCAACGAAAATGCAAGGTAAGAAAAAGAAACAATACACATTTCTTACTTGCTTAACATCGCGTCTAACAAGTTCATGACGATCCGCAGGGTTGCTAGATGAGTTCTAAATGACAAAAACAATAAAAAATTAATTGAAAGAAAATATATATAAACGAAAAACGAAGCAAGAGGTGAATTGCGTAGAAAAATACCACGGCGTCGTTGTGGCAGTGACGACATGGGAAGATCTGATTGCAGCATGGTGCTCGAATTTTGCATCGTCTCTTATAGTGCTCGCACCTATTACATGTATAATAAACGAGATGAAGAGAAAGTGAAAAGTGATAAGGGCCAGTGAGAGAAGAGAAGATTGATTAAATTACCCGTACTGCAACTTCCCAAACTCCTCTCTCTTCTCAATTGCAGAAACAGAGTGTTTGTCATCCATTGATTAGGGTTAGAGACGGGCGCCAAACGGAGGGAAATGGATTTCGATGATGATGCCAAGCACAAAGACGGGCCAGATTTTGTTTCAAATGTTCGTTCAAAGCGACAAAGCAGTTCTGTCGTTTGTAGGCGTTTAATTTTATTTCATCTTTTATTTTTCAATATGTATTATTTCTCTCATCAACTTCATTATTTGGATGGCAAATGATAATTAATATTATACATAATTATTTTTATCTTTTATAAAATTGAAAGTATTTTTTAAGATATCGTTGGATATAAAAATTGTTTTAACATTCTTAAAAAAATAACTCGAGAATATAAGTTTTTTTTTATTTAGCAAGAGAAAATACAAATATTATTAAAAATTTAAATTTATGAAAAATATAAATTAAATTTACTCACTTTCCTTACCGTTAATAAAAATCTTGTAGTAAATAAGGTAAAGTTGTTTAACTTTTAATAACTAGTCATAAGTATATTATTCTTATATACATTAACATTTTATCAAACATTCTTAAGATAAGATAAAATGCATTAATATGAGATTGTCTTCTTTATTACTAATGTTTACATTATCACTATCTCTAAATCTCTTGATAAAGACATTTACCATACAAGTTTATTGTGACTAATAACTAACTAAAATTTCTTAACTAGTTTCACAAATCTATGGTATCTCTATATCCAAGAACATTTTAATTTTTACCATATGAAACAAATTCCCTACAATTATGATTTATGCTTCAAAGAATTCAATCAAGCCAATATCCTTATCTTTCTCAATGTAGGATATTCATAAATACATTAATAGGTTTGTTTATGCTACCTTCTTAACTTAAACTTTGATTTTCTTTTTAGTTTGATAAAAATGCATAACTTTTTTTTACTAGATTATATTTTATAAGGATAAAATAATATTTTCGATTATAATTTCATTCTAAAGATAAAAATTGAAACATAATTCTTAATTAAAAATATAAATATTAAATCACTTAAATCAATGACTTTTAGCAAACTTCTAACATCAATATGTTTTGAACTCTTGTGATACATTTAATGTTTACTAGTTGATTGATACAACAAATTGTTATGTTATTATACATAATTCTTAATTTCAAATTATTATTTTGAATCACAAAATTCATGTTAAGGTTATGATTCATCTTTACAAGGCACCACATACTAATGGATTGATTTTCACTTGCATTAGAAATTGTATTTATCCTTCTGTTTTTTGGACCCAAGTAGTAAATAGCTAGATTCTTCAACTATGTTATCAAGGTTTCGATTAGCGACTTTATCTATGGAAACAAATTTATTGAGAGAAACAAAACAATGGTGACCTTTATATCATGAAAAGAGATTGTTTCTGACTATCATTTAAAAAAAATCGTTAGTGCAAACTAAAAAAAAAAAATCCAATCCAACTTATTTAAATGGAATTAACTTTAATTTTATAATGTCATTTAGTAGACAATAATATA